TGTTCTCAAATGTGTTTATAGGTCTTGTTGGATACCCTGAAAAGGGAGACAATGATATTGTTTAGTCAGAGTTACCTGAGGAGGAAGAGTCTCGTAACAATTTATACATTTCGCTTTGCTCCTCTCAGCAATGACTGTTACTCGTTCTAACTTGCGCGATCTCTCTCCTAGCATTGACATAGTCACTGCTGCTTGGAGTAAACTCCTAGCCCTGTCGTCTTCCCCTGCTCCTGAGTCCATTCGAACCGCTTTATACGAAGTCAGCGGCAGTTTTCCTGATTGGCGGGTGCAAGGCGAGCGCTATTAGCACATTTCCCTGGAACACCAAATTTCCCATTTATTGGGACTACTCAGGCGAACGGCCAACCTACGGTTCGCCTACCTCTTCATCCAACCTCCCGCAAACTTGAGCGACGCATGGGCGCTCCTAGAACAGCTATTTAGACCACAAGAGACGCTAGTTGCCTTCCATAACACACGACACACAGCAACCTGGGCATCCGTCGATGTCTTTAACGATGCTCTGTTCAGCTTGGGCAGCAGGGTCTTTACGGAACCAGACATATCGCATCAGATTTTCCTCCGTTTTGAAGGCGGCCTCAGTTCAGAAGATCCGACACGGGAATTTATCATCCAGCCTCCAACAGATCTACTCTCTGCTCTCCAAATCGTAAGAGTGTTCTAGTCTACCCACCCACACTCGGCTCCCCACGCTGTTTCTCCAAAAAAAACCATTCAATTTCTTAGAGTGTTATGCAGTCCCCTTTTGTATGTAACAACTCCATTCAGCTCTGCCTTAGCCCGGATTTATCCACGGCATCTGATGTTACTCGGTGTGTGCCAACCTCGACATCCTCAGTTCTTTACACCATTATAATGCTTCTGGAAACTGAATGAGTTAATCCAATTGTTTGAATGAAGGGACAGTTTTTTTACTCGCAGAACTGAAGTGGAGATGATGTAACCTTGTGTCGGTGAAATCAGTTGGTGCCCCTTTCCTTCAGCTGCCATCAACTTGCGCTGTATTCCTCGCTGGTAATGTAGCAGACATGTTAGTTTCACCGTGCATCCATACAGGTTGTTCATTGCCATAATATGAATGGTATTTATTTAATATATATTAGGGAAAGGGATGTACAAAAGGGATGCGTTGCGAAAATAAACAACCTGAATGGATGGAGGGTGACCCTCATATGTCTGCTACATAACCGGTGTGGAACTGCAGATAAGGGTTCGGAAGGCGCCGGATGTCGTGTAGGACGAATTGAGTTGTGGGAGAGAGATCGGCAGTTGAAGGGGACGAGCACCGTCTAATTTCACCATCTCCATCCCAGAGCCGCGAGGAAAAAACGGTCAGTTCATCCAAACAACCCATCGAGTTTTCCAGGAGCATTACACGTTGCCTCTGGGTAAATTGTTGTGTAAATTTGGTGCTTACAGATGGAGCCCTTGATGATTCTATTAATGTACAGTTATTATTTTAGATGTACTTTCTCCATGCTTTTGTGGTGTTGTGTTCCTACATCCAGCACCTTCTGTCTGTGTTTTGACAAAAAATTGCAGTTATTTACAAGAATATGTATACACCTCGGGCATGCCCTTATAGCAACTACGGAACGACTGTAGCGAACATCAGGCGTTAACAACAGGGACTCCCTTGATTGGCTGATACGGCGAAATTGAGACTATTTTCATTTATCAGCAACGGCAGCAACTTTGGGGCAACCGTCGCCGGCAGTAGACAACCACATACATAACTAGTGGTTTACTAGCGAACACCAAGCGATATGAACTATATATTTGCTGATGTAGTAAATACCCTCGTAATTGTGTTCTGATGCTAACCAACGAGGGATTGATCGCCTCCCAAATTCGAGATTACAAAATGTTTCCCAAACGATCACCAAAAACTTCTGAACGTGTTTTACTATTCATGTACTCAAATTAATTAATCAGAAGCAAGTTGCGTATGATCAGCATCTTTACTTTAAACCCATGCCTGGGTGTTTTTAAATAAAAAAAAAACTATTGCGGGTTCTAAACTGGAACTCTTCTAAAATTACCGTTCACTACACTACGTTTTCACGTCGCGAAGCTCTAATTTATTTATCATTTTTAATTGTAATAATTATGAGTTCTGCCCACGGTCTCTTTCCCGTAAAATCGAACCATCTCACCCAGTTCTTCCCATGCCTCCTCAGGATCTCAATTTTGTGCTTCGATCCGTTGGACTGTGCTTTTCTAATCTTAATCTGTAATGTTGGAGACCACCAACTCCGAAGATACTCTTCGAGTCTACCGAAGACTTATTGGCCAAATACTTGTGCTAACTTATTTATAATTAGTTGGCCATGTAGCTCCTTTTTACTCATGCTGCATAGACTGCCATATATTTTATTTTCTTTAATATCTATAGGCATTGCTACAATTCTCATAAGTAACCTGCAGGGTACTTTCCCCCTCTCGTTGTGAATGAGTTAGCTGAAAGATAGAATAATTAAAGACAACGTTCGCTTCATATGCAACCAGAATTGGCGTTGTCATGCTCATTTAAAGGTGGCGTATAGAAAGGAAACCTAGACAGAGAGGTCACTTGGGCATGCTGTTCTTCCCAGCTGTACTACGAATGTGCGAATACACAATACCCTTTCTTATGCTCTTTATGCATCCGCTTTTTCGCTGTGTTCGTTTATTTTTTATTGCAAGATTCGCTTCTTAGTCGCAATTCAACAATTTTACCGTCATATATGCCCTCTTTCCAGTATTTTTCTCCATACGCTTCCTAACTATCACCATGTTACTTTTTAGTCCTAGAGGCTGTGAATCCACTTGAAGCTGCCGGCTCTCACATTATGTTTGAAGTTTTATTCAGAAAACTGAACCCAGTTCTACTGCTCAGGAGCAGGACGGCAATCCTACCCGCGCGGTTTCTATCAGCTAATGCTGATGTTGTAAGATGGTCATTTGTACTCACTCCACTTTCTACAGCCTACCGAATTACCTGATCCGTATGAACCCCCGAAGAGGAAGTGTTTCCTCTGTAAAAATAACGATATTGATATAGACTACAAGGTACGAGTTTCGCTTTTTGTTCATACAGGTTCATTCTTTTTAGAATGTTCGACTCCTATCTCAGTTCGTTTCCCCCTATACCGGCCGTATTTACGGACGCCATATTACCGGCCTCTGTATGCCCATGCAAAAACGTATATCTCAGTTGATCAAGCGCTCACGCAAGTTCGGCTTTATGGCTACGGAGTTGAAGGAGACGGTCTTCTTCAGTGATCCTGATTTGACTCGAAGACGGAACTAG